AAATAGTTCTGGAGAGCTAATGTGCAACAGTGTGACTGTAGTCAACAATGTTATATTATATACTTGACATTTGCTAAAAGGGCAGATCTTAAGTGTCTTCACAAAATTTTTTAATGTAAGAACTATTGTCTCCACTTTATGAATGATAAAACAAAGATTAATCAAAATTAAATAGCACATCCAAGATCATACAACTGAAGAGACAGAGTCACTACTGTCACTCACTGCTGTCTTATCACTTGTTGTTGTCTTTGTTGTTTCCTTATAACATTTTTATCGTTTACTTCAACCAGAATAAATTGAGTGCTAAACGTGCTGGACTTCCTAATAGATACTGATGAAGCAAGTGTCTAGGATGGGAGCAAGAAAAGCCATCATGATACAAGGCAAAGTACATTAAATACTAATTTTTTAGTAAACATTAGTATTTAAATACTATGAGAAGCTAAAAGAGGGCAAGTTCACAATTATCTGCAGTAACTGAGAAGAGCATTTGTCATGGCCTGTTAGAGAAGTAGAGAGGGCAACTTGAATAAAGTACAATTTGAGGGTTAGGAAGTGTGGACATGTCTAGGAATTAGTATGTGATGAAAACTCAGTGATAATCATGGCAAGAAATATAACATTTTATCCGTTTAATTATCAAATTCCTTAAATCTCTGTCTCCTTTTTCCTCATGATACTTACATCTAAAGGAGAATGTCATTCATATGGGGGTGGGGTGAGCCAAGACTGACACAGTCAGAGGCTGGCTCAGAAGATAGCATCTCATACTGTGTGGTGGCAGAGCCTAAGACTGATGGGAGAAGCCAAAACCTGTGTAGGATCTCAGTGGTCTAAGTGCAGAGAGAAGAGCAGGAAGAGATACGGGAGACACATCAAGGCAGAACACGAAACTATGAAGCTGGGGATCAGAGAGAAGAATTCTAGAGAGAGTAGACTAGAATCAGATGGATGGGGAGAGACTGAAGGGAGTCACGAGTGGTGGCCTTGGGCTTAAGTGATGTTCCAGCATTCATTTGTCATCTGGAATGAAATGGGTGGGTGTCCTTAACTTTCCAAGGCAAGGCTAGGATGAATAGGTCTTTGGAATGTGAAGAATTGGTCGTATAATGACGTGTACCATGCTAGAAGAACAACAAAACGTTGTGCAAATGCTGCTTAAAAAGTGAGTGCTCAAAAATAATTTAAAAGCACTCTCAAAAGTTGTATTCATATTCTATTTAAATCAACGTCAGTTTAAGTAGAACATATTAAAGATTTAGAAATATGTTAGAGTAATAAATGTGAGAAATAAACCTAGCGTTTCACATGTCTACCCACATGATGTGCATATGGGGATGTTTCTATTTCATCAACAAATGTTTCTGTAAGCTTTGCTAAGTACCTACATTGACCTGAGCGCTCAGGATTACAGCAATAAACAAATACCATTTATGAGATGCAACACAACTGCTAGTTAGTTTTACAAAAGGGAAGAAATCCCTCCTTATACTAGCTACTTAGTCTTGTCTTCATTATACACCCTGGATTGAGACAGTCTAGGATTTTGTCACCTTGGCTCAAAGCCTGCCCATCTCTATTACACATTAGATTTATTGTCAATCTGAGCGTACTTTTATAACCTCAGAACCTCTTCTGAATATAGGTGATTGCCCAGGTCTTTGCCAAAAGCTTTAGATGATTTTTTAAAATATATGAGTATCTGTTATTTGTTTTGGCTATAGTGGAATCAGTCTAGGATAGAGCTTAACTTGTGGTATAGGGTCCTGGACCCTGGGGTAGATGTCATTGTGACAAAAACACAGAATTCAATGTCTAGGTACATGGTTGATTTTATTTTTCTTGCTATAAGGGAAAAAAATGTAAGAATAATAGTGTGTTAGAATTTTTTGTAAAAATTCTCTAAGTTTACAACGTATGTCCATAGCCATCATCTTATATTCCTTAAAATAACTTAGTTTACATTTGAAAAATAGGAAAGTCAAAGAAGCTCAACCACTTACCTAAAGTCCCACAGCCAAAATGTATGGATCCAGAAGCAAACCCCGATTTTCCTACTCCAAGTATAAGACTTGATTTCTCACTACACAAATAGAGTGATAACAGCAAATGTACTGTAAATACTTTAATGCCCAACTTTATATTGAAATTGTGAAAATATGGTAAAGGTTGCACTTAGCATGATTATCCACGCTGGCTCAGTGTTCTTAAGGTTTTCCTCGCCATTTCTGGGAGGCTGCCTGTGCCCCGTAGAAGTGCCTACACTAAGCTCTTGTCATTTTTCCTCCTGAAATGTTTTTCCCTTGGTCAGGTGTTACCAGTTGCCTCATTTCTGAATTCAGATCCTGCATAACTCCTTTATTTTTATTTTTTTATTTTTAAATGCCTTTGGCTTAAATTTTTTTTAATTTTTAGATTTAAAAAGTTTTCAAAATTTATTTTGGTGGGGGAGGTAGTT